AATCAGGAAGGAACCAAATTGTTGAACATATAGTCACAGTTCCATTTTGGAAATTTCATAGAGATTCCTATTTTAAATCAAATAGACCAAGGTTGTATTCCGAAAAAATAAAAATAAACCAAGAATCAGAGTAAGATTGATAGTAAAAACATATTGTACAAGGCATTCATTAAGTCTATGTGGTTATAATTTTGGGGTAGATGTCTAGAAAATGATCGAAGAATATGAACTATTGTTGGTCATTCCGTGCAAAACTAATTTTATAAAGGATCTTTTTGTCTAGTTCGGGTAATTTCAATTGAATCAATGATGAATTCATGGAAACATTTTTTTTAGGGTTTTGTGTGAGGGGAATATTGTAAATATAATATAAAAATTAATTTATCTAGAATTTTAAAATTTTGAGAGTTGATTCGTGATATAAAAATAATAAGTATTACGAAACTAGGTGATTGGTTTCCTTTTCACCATTCTAGATTACTGTCATTGACCCGTATAAGAGGCTCATATTTTAGAAGATCCAAAAAATGACAATTGAAAGAAGAAACTAAGACAAATCAAGGAAAGCATCAATCAAGGATGCTAATCTTAATACCATAACTATGAATCTGGTCATGGGCCCTCAGAAGAGCCTGCAAAGGCTCAGAAACCCACTACCCACAAGTAAATCCTATAAATAAAAGGTAAAGTCTACATGTATGGACATCCTTTCTCGATCTATTGTTATATTGCCACTGTGCACACACACCACCCCTTTGGCAACACTGTTATTATGTGCATAATGATCTGTTACCTCAAAGATACCTATTTTATAAATATCTGAGAGATCCTGTAAATCCAACATAAAACATAATCTTTGACTAGATGTCTCTGTCTTCGAGACACAACAACTACTAATATAAATAGTGCAATCAAGTTTTTCTTGATAAATTGTAGTTCTATCTCTTTTGATTTCAATTGAGAAGGATTTTGGTATCTGGGTATAGGATCTTATGAAGGATTGCTAATATAATAACATAATGGATCAAGTTTTTGAAATTATTATATTTTGAACTTTTTGAACAATTCAACTCCTAAATGTATCCCTAAATAGGGAACATAGTCTTGATATCGATTTTCCTTTGATATTCATTGAGTTATAACGGGAGAATTCTCTTTTTCCCAAAATAAATAAATAAATCTTGTTGCTAAGAAAATTATGCGTTTTATTTAATATTATAAAGAGAAAAATGTTTGTCCATTTAAATGATACAAGTTGTGTCATTTCACTTTTACAAAAGATGGGACCCACACTTTTATTTTTATTTTTTGTCCACTCTCTCCCCCATCGTCTATCTCTTTCTCTCACTTAAAATGACACAATTTTACATCTTTTAAAATGACACTCACTTTTTCCTATTATAAAATAGGAAAAGAGTTTTTCTTTAACAAAAGATAAAATTATTTTTTGTAATATCAAAACGACGTCCTTTTAGAGTTTAGGAAAAAAAAAATGTAGGGTATTCTAAAAATTTTACTTTTGTGAATTATATTGAAAGGATTTAGTGTATCTCCAGATAACTTATCTTCAATGAGCCAAAAACGACGTCGTTTTAGGTTGAGAAAAATATATTTTTGTAATTCTAATTTATTTCAGGGTTATTAGTCTTTTCATTTTAATTTTTAATTTTTTCAACTCTAAAACTATGTTATTTTGTGCTAACAGGAGATAATTTTATTTTCAGTTCTGGAGAAATGCTTTTCCTATATTAAAAGGGTTCAGTGTATCTCCGGTCAATGAGATCTTATTTTCAGTAAGCCCAATACGACGTCATTTTGTGTTAAAAAAAATATATTTTTGTAATTTTAATTTATTCTAGGGTTATATTTGTCTTTATTATTTTAATTTTTTAATTTTTCAACCCAAAACAACATTATTTTGGGCTCACTGAAGATAACTTTATCTCCCGTCATTGGAGAAATGCTTTTCCCATATTAAAAGGGTTTAGTGTATCTTCAATTAATGAAGATAATTTATTTTTAGTGAGCCCAAAACGGTGTTATTTTGTGGTTGAGAAAATTGTATTATTGTAATTTTAATATATTGCAGGATTTTATTACTCTTTACCCTATATTGTTTTTCCCAAACCCCAAAAAAGATGTTATTTTAAAATTGCAAGAGATAATTTTATCTCATTTCACAAGAGAAACGTTAATCTCTTATAAAATTATATCAATAACATTTTTTTTATTTGCTGAGATTGCGTTTTTCTAATGATTTTCTTTTGTTGAAACCCTAATAATATGTTGTAGGTTTAGCAACAAGACGGGAGTAATATTTTTCACGCCATTATAGATAAGTTAAAACTATGTCAACTTGTTATCAAAAAAAAAAAAAAAAAAACTATGTCAACTTTTACATGTTATTATCATGAATTATATTGTTATCTCTTCCATAATAAGGATTAACAATTTATTTGTTATTAATTTTCAAATCCATTAAAAAAAAGAAGAAAAAAAACATAATGTATGTGTTTAGATTAGTTTGTTTTGAAGAAACAATCTAATGTTATGGATAGTTTTTTTGATAAAACTTTGGAAGAAATAAAATGGGCTGCACATTCTAGCATTTTTTTTTTTCTTTTTAAGCGAGAGGTGATAAATTGGTTATGGATGAATATAGAAATGAAACGTACGTATTACTACGCGGAGGGACGGTTTGAGCTGGAGAGAGATTGCTTTCTAATGATACTAATGAACATTATTGTGAGTTTGAGTCTTTCTTTTTCTCTTTTATATATTTTTTTAATGCACGCTAATTATTTTTGAAATTGTGTGCGTGTAATAGATTATGAAATATGCTATATACGTTTATTCTTTCTCCTTTAACCCCAAAGGCAAAACATTTACAAACATATTCAAAATAATTCTAAAAAATAGGATTTAGAATGCTTTGGTTTTCCTTTTTCCAACCTATCCCAAGAACATTGTTTTCTTCCTTTTCTTATCTCAGTTCATTTGTTTCTCTCCATGTCTTCCTCTCTTTTTCTCAAAAAAGTTTTGCTCTCTTTTTATAGGCTCCGCTAATACGGTTTTGGGTTTATACCTCTTTAATCTCATAGGAATTAGAATTTTCATGAATCACTTACTTGTGAAGTCGCCAGCTGTGAGTCGTTATATACTACCAAACACTCCACTCCGAGCTCCTTTGCATAGATTAACCCGGCAATCATTGCCTCATATTCTGCTTGATTGTTGCTTGTGGGAAATTCCAACGTCTACGAGTGCTCTACCGCCACCCCTTCCGGGTTCTCAACGATAATTCCTACCCCACTGCCCTGTTTATTGGATGACCCATCTACGAAGAGCTTCCACCATTTATCTTCCAGGTCACCTCCGGGATGGGTCATCTCAACCACAAAATCTGCCAACGCTTGTGCCTTGATCGCCTTCCGTGGTTCAAAATTAATACCGAACTCGGTTAACTCCACCGCCCATGTCACCATCCGACTGGCGAGATCCGGCTTATGCAACATCTGTTTAATGGGCTAATTCGTTCTGACTATTATCTGATGGCATTGAAAATATTGACGGAGCCTCCTCGCCGTAATTAATAATGCAAATGCCACTTTTTCCACATGCTGGTATCTTACCTCTGCTCCTTGCAATACTTTACTTATGAAGTATACCAGTTTCTGACTTCCATCACTTTCTTCTCGGACGAGTACTAAACTTACAGCTTCCTGCGAAACAGACAAATATAGAAACAACAGCTCGCCTGGCTCTGGCTTGCTGAGAATTGGTGGTGATGCCAAAATATTCTTGAAGTGCTGAAACGCAGCTTCACACTCCTCCGACCATACAAAATCACAACCCTTCTTAAGCAACTGGAATAACGACAATGAAACATGTGCAGATTTTGCCAAAAATCTGGATAATGTTGTTACTCGCCCATTCAGTTTCTATACGTCTCTAATATTCTCCGGGCTCTTCATCTCCATTACTGCTCTACATTTATCTGGATTGGCTTCAATTCCCCTCTCTGTTAAAAGAAAACCCAAAAACTTGCCCGCTGGAACTCCAAAAGCACACTTACTCGGATTCAAACTCATATTATGCTTCCTGAATTGCTCAAAAACTTCGTTTAGGTCCTCCAAATGCTTCTTAGCATCCTCTGACTTCACAATCATATCATCCATATATACCTCCAACATTCTGCCCATTTGCTCTTTAAACACTTTGTTCATCATTCTCATATAAGTTGCTCCTGCATTCTTCAGCCCAAACGGCATCACACTGTAACAATACACCGCGTTCTCCGTAATAAATGTTATTTTCTCCTGATCTTCCTTCCACAAAGGTATCTAATTGTACCCGGAATATGCATCCATAAATGACAATACTTTATACCCGAATGCCTTGTCCACCTACTGATCAATGCTTGGTAATGGAAATGGGTCTTTAGGACAAACTTTATTCAAATCAGTATAGTCCATGCACATCCTCCATCTCCCATCTGCCTTTTTAATCAACACCGGGTTGGCTAACCATGTAGCATATTCTATTTCTCTGATAAACCCCGCTTCTAATAACTCCTTTGTCTTTTCTTCTATCGCCCTCCTCCTTTCTGAACAGAACCTCATTTTCTTTTGAACTACCGGCTTGGCTCCGGGCATTATTGCTAAACGATGACAAGACAAAGTTGGATCCATTCCGGGCATATCAGAGGGTTTCCACGCAAAAAGATCTGCATTGTCCTGCAATAGCCTTTTTAAACTTGCAGCCACCTCTGGTTCTAACTCCGAACCCACTTTAGTAAACTGTTCGCAAGACTTTCCTAATTGAACTTCCTCCATTGCACCGGCAGGTTCCGGCCTATCCTGTATATCTTCCGCTCGGGGATCCAATCCCACCACCATTACTCGCTCTTCTTTCTTCCCCTCCTTTTCCGCTCGTATCTCCTCTTTCTTGTTTTCCTCTTCTTCTGCAATCATTTTTGCCTTTTTACTCTCTTATCCCATTCACAAACTCATATTGTAACAACTCTGAGCCACCACTTGATCCGCCCTTACTGTGGCCACATTGTCGTCTTTAGCCATAAACTTCATAGCCAATTGTTCTATCGACAAAAAGATCTTGAACTTCTTCATAAATGGTCTTCCCAAAATAATATTGTAAGCTGAACCCAAATCTACCACTGCAAACGACAACGTAACTGTTTTGTGCGTGGGTGCCTTACCCAGAGTCAACCTCAACGGGACGTATCCTAACGGCTTAATCTTATCTCCTGTAAATGCTAACAAATCAGCTCCCCATAGTTCTAACTGGTCACAGTCTAAATCCATCCTTCGGAACGCATCCCAGAATATAATGTCCACCGAGCTCCCCGGATCCACCAACATTCTATCCACTTGGTAATTTGCTAGCAACCCTGAGATAACCAAGGGATCATCATGCTCCAGATCTAATATTTCGTCTTCTAGATCTTCAAACACTACATGTTTACCCGTCTTCCTTCTTTCCTCTTTAAAACGCGGCTTCTCCGAAATAGCCATGCACATCTTCAAATGCTTTTTTCGGGCATTACCTGATTCTCCTCCTCTTGCTCGTCCTCCGGCTATAGTGCAAATATGCCCCACTGGAACCTGACTCGGAGATGCTTGAACTTTTTGGTTTTCGTTAGCCTCTTTATTCCTTCCTCCAGGCGGGCTGTGACTACGATCTAGTCGCCTATCCTTATCCTCCTTACACCCTTCTCCTTCTCCTCTTCTCACATACTTCTGTAACTTCCCTTCTTTAATCAGCCTCTCGATAACATTCATCAAATTGAAGCACTCATTTGTAAGGTGTCCATACCCTCGATGAAACTCGCACCACTTTGTCTTATCTGCTTGTGCGTAACTTGACCGAATCGGTGGCGGCCTAGGAACGTTTCGCATTTCCGTCGTCATTACTTCTTTTAATATCTGGGCTCTGGACGTATTTAATGGTGTAAACTCCCTCCTGTATGCTTCTCTAAATCTCTCTCCGACTACTCGAGGCTGCCTTTCTTCAAACTGTCCTCTCCCTGCAGGCCTGCCAGGAACCCTAAATGTAGCCTCTCTGAAACCTTGTTCAATTTTTCTTTGAGAAGATTTAAATTCTTCTAGATCAATGTACTTCCGAATCCTTTCCATCAAATCTTCTTTCGTAGCCGGACCTTTCTTTGCCAACGAATCTGCCAACCCGCCAGGCTGCAACCCGGTGGTATATAACAACAAATACGTCTGATTCTCTAACCCCTTCACTTGCCTAGCTTCTGCTTGAAATCTTTCATAATACTCTCTCACTTTTTCTCTCGGCTTTTGTCTTACTCCACATAAATTGTGTGTGGTCTTGGGCTGGGGTCTGCAATGGGCAAACTGCTGTATAAACCGGAGAGACAAATCCGACCAACTGTCCACAGAGTTCACTGGCAACACCGTAAACCATTCTAACGCCTGTTTTCTCAGAAAAACTGGAAATGTCTGACATAACAATGAGTCTGATTCTCCACATAATGACATTGCTGCTCGAAAAACAGTTACAAACTCCTTTGGATCCGAGCTCCCATCATAAGCCTTTATATCCGTTGGCTGTTTGTTTGAACCAAGTCGGAATAGGCTCCACCCTCAATCTCCAAGATAAAGGGGTTCCTGAAGGCCCCTGATTAATAGGCGGTACAGGAATCCCCTGTTGCGTCTATTATGGTAATCTCCCATGTCGCTCATTCCACCCGGGTCCTTCTTGTCTTATCATTTGTCTTTCGTAATCCCGAGGACTATAATTCTCTACTTGTTGCCGCCCTCTTCTCTGAGCTCGGTTTCCTGGTGCGTAATAGTACTCGTCTTCCTCACGCGGGAACTCTCCTCTATAATAGATATATCGTCTTCCTCCATCTGCCCTTCTTCCGTTAACTTCTTCATATCGTCTCGGATCTCGCCCTCGCTCTTCAGGACGAGCGTAGTAATGACGACTTTCCTGCCGTTGCTTGTCCTCCAAGGACTCCCTACGGGGTTGCTCATCATCCTCTTCCTCATGCAGCCAATCTCTTCTGGCTTCCCGAGCATTTGCTTCATAAGCCTCTTCCTCTGTCACCCGATTTAATCCACGTCTTTCACCTTGATAATTTTTCCGCTCTAGAAGGCTTCTTGATATCTGAGATACTTGCCCTCTTCAAACCTCTGTCCTCCTATTTCCTGTCTCGGCTGGAGGCGACAATGGGATATAACTAGGAAGGGGAGATACAGAATCTCTCCACCTGTCCCTGCCTAGTGGCATGTTTCCCACAGGTAGTCTCTCTTCTGAATGTTGCCTCCCTCTTCCTCCTTCCGGATGTTGCCTGTTCCTTATCTCCTCCACCAACTGAATTAAAGCTTCTCCAACTCTACACAACACACTCTTTCTTTCTTTTGTTGTTGTTGTTGTTAATGGGATGGAGCAGAACAACGTTATCGCACCGTTCATTTTAAATACATACCACGTGATGAACGATCCCAACACCGATAAGCTTATCACGTGGGGCCCAAACAACAACTGCTTCATCGTCCTCGACCCCTTCGTTCTCTTCATTCTCCACCGCTCGCTCATCATGGTTATTGCTTGCCATGACCCAAGAAAATGCGTGGGAATAATTTTACCTTTCCCACAGACGGCGCCAAATGTTCTCGACGAACATCAATATGGGTTCTTTTTAATTCCAGGTGTTCGTTCCTAGAATACTCTCCTCTATATATATACCCCTAATTTAGGTGGTTACACTGGACGTGGGTGATGGTAGACATCATCATGCTATCATGGTAGGACCCACCTGAAGTACCATTATGTGAAATAATCTACCCATAACCCGAGCAAAGATCTTCCGAGTTAACTCAGCTGATTCCCCGGCTAGCGATTCCTGGATATACAAACCTGGAACAAAATCCATTATCTTTTAGATATGTTAAATCTCGGAATTTAATTGAGTGTTGATGTGCCTCTGGCAAATGCGATTTTCCAAGCTGGAAATTATAATAATTAAGTAATAAAAGAGCAATTTAAATACATATTTACTTATTATCTTGATTCTTTTATGTAAATGATATTTCTCACCTATTGATTGTGTTTTTACAGGAAAAAAAGAAATAAAAATTATAAAAGCCTGTTAACGCAATTCCAGACGGGTGTAGCACACTACAAATTCCAGCAGCATGGCGCGAACCGGCACCACACTGGCGCACACCTGCGCCAGTTTCCGGATTTCACAGCGGTGTTTTGCAAGTGGCGCCAACTGGCGCCACCCGGCGCCAGTTTCGTGAAGAATTGAAAAATGGTCCATTAGCATGGCGCCATTTGGCGCCAAAATGGAGCCAAGTGGCGCCAAAATGGTGCAAAATTCCCACGCCATCTAGCGCCAAGAATACAAGGAAGTGGCGCCAAGTTTGGTGCAAGGTGGCGCCAAGAATTCATGTAGGTGGTGCCAACTGGCGCCACTTTACGTGAATTCGGTTCCGACTTTTCTGAATTTGGTTCCGACTTTTCTGAATTCAGGTAGGTGGTGCCACACCGGCGCCAACTAGCGCCGGGTTGCGAGAAAATTACTCCGTGTTATTCTGGGGGTATTTTTGGAAGAAGGAAAATAGGCATATAAATAGGATCCTTATGACAGAATTAGGGATCCAGACCTATTCTACTGAGAGAGACGACGGTGGTGCTCCGAGAGGAATCTGAATATCAAGTTTCTTTTCTTCTTCTTCGTTTAATTTATCAGGTTTATGTTTTTATTGAATATTGGATTTTTAGCCATGATTATGTTTGGCTAGTTTACTTTTTATTGTAGTTAGGGTCACAAACCCTATGTGAACCTTTGTTACGACGGATTGGTTTATTTCTACTCGTCTATATAAAGTTCTTTATCTTTACCTTGTGCGAAATTTATATTCTCTTTATTAGAATTGATCAATCTGATAGTTGAGGGTAATTTGAGGGTTAGAAGCCTAGATAGGAATATTGGGATTTTCATCCTGAAAGGGGGTAGGATAACGGTTCGTATGCATGCTAGAAATAGATGTTTATTGAATTGCAGATGTTTGAATTATCGTGTTCATTGCTTAATCCTCATGAGGGGTTGCTAAGGGATTAGGATTCCAATTGAGATTAAAGGGTTAAATTGCCAAGGGATTAGAATTTAACTAATTAATTTTAGATGATAATTATCTGAGTATTTATATAATTGAATATTTTTAAATCAATCCAAAGTAATAAGTGGGGATCATAAGGTGAGTGCGCTCTGGCTACAATGCTTTTCTCATTTTTATAAATCAAATCATTCTTGTTCTTATTTTTATTCTTCATCACAGAAAAATTACAAAAACAAGTCTTTATTTCAGTTCTCAATTTTACACAACTCGACATTATTTGTCACAAACAAACTCTTTTGAACTTTTCCATTCTTGAAAGGAATATTAATTGATATTCGACCAAATCCCTGTGGAGACGATACTCTACTTACTTTCTATATTACTTGTGCGATCGGTATACTTGCCGGGTAGCATCAAGTGTCCACTAAACCAAAAACTCTTGGAGTAGTTATTTTAGTATGATTTACACTTTGATGTAATATTCATTGCCATATTTTTTTTATTTTTAAACATCTTTCATAACAGAGACCACCATTGAACTTGAAGAGTGTATTGTTCCTGTTCCGGATGGCCCAAAAGTCTAAGCCCAAACCCCTTATCCACGTCAGCCCTACCAACCCTCAACTTCCTTACCCCCAAAGCGATGATGCTCTCTAGGTGAGACACTCTCATCTTGGGATTATAACTCCCAAGGAGACCGCCACATGTACTATAAGAGGTAACTGCCATTTGTCACATGCTGACATCGCTAGGCACAGGGGGTGTATCACTGCTACCTTAGCAGTGTCTGCCACCCTTAGCAGCGCCTGCCACCCTTAGCAAATCTCAAGGAGGGTTGACCCCCCTCCTCACCAACCCATACAAGATCAACATCACGTTCCCCTATAAAGACCCCTCTCCACACACAAGGAGGGGTATCTTATGTATCGTTATTCTGTCCATTTATCTTGAGTCACATACACACACACCCGATCCCCTTTATCATCTGTTAGCTTCATACTTGGGACTATATCTCCAAGCTTGGTCTCTACCTGTGCTGGAGGTATAACCCATATAATGACTCCATCCCAGAAGGAAACATAGTGGACTTATAGTCCTCAAACGGTACAGTTCCTCCTTCCAAAAAGTGGATCTAAAACTCTTACTATTTCAAAATTATGAGGACATGAATAAATACAACAAAATTAATAGAAGATATATATACTTTAAAATGAAAACCAAAAACGCCATAAAGGATAACAAAGTTGGCACTCCACTTAGTGGCTTAAATATGGGTGTGGTTATTAAAAATTGGTGGGTGCAACATATCTACATAGAGGAATCGATCACCTAACCTTCTTTTAGATTTTTCGGGGAGAGATGTTATGTGTTTATTTACCTCCCCACCACCTCGAATTAGTCCATTTTATTTGGCTAATATGACTACTGTTAGGTGGCATCATCATATTGTAATTGTTAGCTGTCAGTACACCATTTAACATCAGCCATTTAGCAATACAAATTTAGACAACCAAAGGTTTAACACTTGAGAGCAAATTATTAAAAATAAACAAAAAAGAAAACAATCAAGCAATTAATGAGAAAATGACAAATTCTTATTTTAAAAACTAGACTCTCTCATATAATAACATGATTCGATGATTAATTATATAGACAAATCAATGTAACAAGAGACTAGAAAGAGTACATGTAGATACATAGTGAAAAATGATAACTATTAATTTTTGAATTCATTTTTTCAGCAGTCAATGTAGATAAATTATTAAAGAGGACATGCCACGAAGTGCAACTGTCCCAGGAAATTATAGATATAAACATGGCTTCAATATCCTCCACTTTAATTAACATGTTATGGAATGGTAGTAGAGCGGAGCCTTAGGCATTAGACAGGGAGATCCCTTCTCACCTTTTAGGGATGAAAAAACTGTCACACATTATAACTGCAATAGAAAACAGAGGCTCGTGGCATCTTATCAAGGTAGGGCGAAATGGGCCAAAATTTCCCATTTAATTTTGTCGATGACCTCATGTTATTTGCAGAGGCAGAAACTTCTCGAATGGAGTTAATATTGAAATGTCTGAACTTATTTGGTGATATATATGGCCAGAAGGTTAGCACTCAGAAAACAAGTATTTGTTTTTCAAGAAACACTCCAAAGAGCGTTGCAACAACTGTCACGTGTCTCAGTGGATTTAAAAGAGTTAATAATATTGGCTGATATTTAGGGGCATGGATGATATATATGCTTCCATAGTTGAGAAAGTCTCTGAAAGGCTCAGTAATTGGCAGTCTCGTTGCTTATCACAAGCAAGTAGAATAACATTGGCTCAATTGGTGTTGGCATCATTCTATAATTCCATATGCATAGTGGAAAGTTTCCGAGATCAATTTGTGAGGAGGTTGGGCG